GGGCCTGCGGTCGGCCCGGGACCCGGCCTACTGCCGGCGTGCGGGCGGGCGGCTCGGGGCTCTTTCCGGGCCGGCCGGTCCACGCGCGCGGCCCTCCCGGCGGGTGCGGGAAGCCGGAACGCCAGGCAAGAGGACCTGGGAATTGAGCAGCGGGGCACTTACGCGCCGCTCTGTGGCTGAAGATGCCTCCAGCGCTCTGAAGCTGCCTTTTAGATGCCGTAAATCTCAAAATCATTTGGCTGTTGATTTTTAATTTGCTTTATCTATTTTACGGCATTTCGTATCGTACCCTTATGTGGAGCATCCGTTCAGGCTCCGACTTGTCACGTTAACCGGCTAGGTTAAGGGTCCCTTACGTTCGCCTGTGAGACGGTTTCTCAGAATTCATCCAGTTGTGCCTTAGAGGAAAAGAAAGCAGAAGTTTCAGCTTTCGTTTCAGATTTGGACTTGATGGGACAGACTTGGTCTACGCTCTGAATGTGCTGAACAGCTGGTCATAGCCTGGTAGGTGCTGTGTCTGAATTGTTAGGGCTTTTGTCTTTAGTAACTTGTCTATTTCAGTAAAACCTGTTTGAATGGCAAAAGCAGTTATATTACTCTCTTGTCAGGATTGTTTGAAGGCAAAACTTTTAGGATTAGCCTTAGGGTCTGAGCCTCCTTGACTCACATGTTCCCCATTCTCATAGTCTCCTTGTTGGTCTCTGAACAAAGGGATACACTTATGTCCTTGGTCTACCTGGAATGATTGCTTCCTCGTGGCTCTCTGAGACATTCCATGATTACACTGTTTTTAATTTCTCTACCTATTTCTTGACTTTCATCCCTGCTTAATTTCCACCCACAGCTGTTGATCTTGCTTATTACTTGTTTAATTAATATTTATCATATTTAACATTTTTCTCAGAGGTAATAATCTTCATGGGGAGATTATTCTCAAAGAACAGTTGCTGGTACACAGTATGTGCTCAGTAAGTATTTGCCAAATGAATGGGAATGAGGAGCTTAGCAGCTTTGATCGACCTGCCACCCAGAAGTCATTGTGGGTGAGTACTGAGCACAGGTTCCTGGAAAGTGTACAGCAAGTACCACATACCTTGAGGACAGAACTGCCAACTCTACCTGCTGACTGAGGAGAGGGCAACCATTCAAGGGAATGAGCAGAAGGGAGTATAGAGCCTTCCAATGAATCTTTATGGAGATTTTAATCTGTAATTATTTAAGAGTTGAAAGTTTTTAGGGGCCAGGGAGATGGCTCAGTAGAATAAGCGCAAAGGTCTGAGTTCAATCCTGGCTCTGAAAAAAAAAAAAAAATATTGCTGCTGCCACCCATCTGTAATCCCTGCACTCAGGAGGCTGAGGCAGGAGGATCACCATGAGTTTGAAGCCAGCCTCCACCCTGAACTACATAGTAAGATCCTGTCTCATGAAAGTTAACCAAAATAGTTTTTGAAAATTCAGATCTGACACTGGCCATAATTTCTTAGATTTAAAAACAACAACAAAAAAAAACTTTTGTCTTTGGTTACTTGTACTTTTTTGTGACATGAGATGATTGAGATGAGGTAGTCATTTGTCAGGCTTTTGCTTCAAAACTGCATGGAGTGAGTGGTTCCTGATGCCCTCACCTGGACCCTGTTAGCTGGGGCTCTGACAGCCCCATAGAGCCTCCTTTATAACTAAAAAACTGGGAAGTCCTTTGTGGGACCTTTACCTCTAAAGGCAGAGTGGGCACCCTCTGTTCCCAAGGCTGAGTCTGTTAGTGTGGTTCAGGAGTTGAAGGAGTGCTGTGTAGGTCTTGACAGGGTTTTGCTAAGTCCAGGCTAACATTAAGTTCACCATGTGTCCTGCCTCCTGAGTGCTAGTATTACAGGTGTGAGCCACTGCACCCGATTGGGCTTGCCCTTTTGGTCATGAGTCCCTGTGCTTGCAGAGAGTAACACCACCTCTGGCCCAGTTAGGATCCACAGAGCAGACTGTCTTGCTCAAGGTCTCTGTGTAAATAATTATCAGACTTAGACTCCTGAGAGTCAGGTTTATTCTCACTGTCCATTGATCACCTGCATTGTGCAGAACCATGTGAAAGCTTGCATTGTAGAATTGTTTGAAGTGAAGTATGTGGTGCATAGGCACTAGTAGATACTGAGCAGATGTTTACTGAATGAATGACTAAAACGCACTGAGACTGAACTGAAAGTTTACTTCTAAAGTCAGTCATGGAGTGTATAGTGCTACGAGTGAACCACATCAGCAAATTAAACAGTTTCCAAACCCTGAAGTCTTTATCAGCCTGATTAGAAGATATTTGTGCAAATAAAGCATGAGGACCAATCCCACATTTGAGGACCCTTAGCCTCTCATGGTGGTTCTTGTACCTGGGCATAGCAGTGCACACTGTAATTTCAGCACTCAGGGAGGCTGAGGCAGGAGACTTGCAAATGGGGCAACTTAGTGACTTAGCAAAACCCTGGTTCAGAATGAGAAAAGGACTGGGAATATAGCACAGTGCAGAGGCTCTGGGTTCAATCTCCACTACTGGGGGATGAAAAAGATACTTGGGACTAGGGGTGTAGTTCAGTGGTAGTGTGCTTGTCTAGCATGTGCCAGGCGTTGGATTCTCCAGCTCTAAAAACAAAAAGCAGCACTTGTAAAGTAAGGCTTAGTGCCCGCTTCGGCAGCACATATACTAAAATGAGGTTTATTATTATTTGCTGAAGAATTTTGTGCCACGAATGTAGTTTTTCTGTCAGACACCTCCTGTTCCTTCTCAGGCCTGCACATGGTTAGGGCTCTTTTTTATCTCTGAGCCTCTGGACAGTGTACAATGTAAAATGTGGGTTGTGGTTCCCACTCCACCTGCCTATTGGAACAGCAGAAGATGATAAATCAAGATCTATCACCTACTGCTTCCTAAATATAAGTGACACAGATGTTGGAAAATGGTGATAGCTTTATTTTATGAAAATACTATCTAAAATATCACAATCTCATGCCTAGTCTGTTGCTGTGCCAGGGCTGCCTGAGATGATGACAGCCCTGATGAAGATTAGCAGCCAGTCTGTTATCCATCCCTGGCAATTCAGTCTGGAAGATTTAAGGATTAGATTACCCGACAACCTCTACTGTAGATTTTGTCCTCTCTGACACCTTGCATTAACTTTGAGCACACTGCTAGTGAAAAAATTGGGCTGGCCAGAGAGCTCAGTGGACTAAAGTGCCTGTTTAGGCAGAGTGCAGTGGCTGGGGCTCATCCCAGCTTGCCATACCAGCCCTGCCCCCAGAGTGCCCGAGACAGCAGTTGAGACTGGGCATGGTGGTGCACGCCTATAATCCCAGCTCTTGGGAGGTGGGATACAAACGGATCACTACAACTCTGATCCATGTAGTGAGACGCTGTAGACCCTGTAGTAAATACAAAAAACAAAAAGTATGTTCTGCTTGCTTGCTTGCTTCCTTTGTTTCTTTCATGGAACCAGCGATTGAACTCAGGCCCTTGCACTTGCCAGGCAAGCGCTTATTCTACTGAGCCATCTCCCCGGCCCTGTTTATTTATTTTTTAAGTAGATGGGATTAAACCCAAGGCCTTCACACTGAGCTATATCCCCAGTAACAATTTTTAATTTTGAGACAGTCTAACTACATTGCTGAGTTACCCAGGCTGGGTTGGTTGATTGATTGATTGATTGAGTTTTGGCAGAACCAGGGATTGAACTCAGGCCCTTGTGCTTGCCAAGCAAGCGCTTATTCTGCTGAGCCATCTCCCCAGCTCCCCCATGCAGGGTTTAAACTTGTGATCTTTCTGTTTCAGTCTTCCAGAGTGTCAGGATTATGGGCGTGCAGCATTGTCTTGGTTACTTTTCTCTTGCTGCTGGGACAAAATATCCAACACCCAGAATTAAGGAAGGAAAGGTTTGTTTAGCTCAGTTAGAAGAGGTTTCAGTCCATTTCTGCTGGCTGCAATGTAGAGTGGCAAATGGCAGAGGGCAGCCATGTGTGGCTGCAGAAAACACCAAAGAACAAAACCAGGGGCAACAACTGTGGCAGCTAGCAGGCGTCTCGCTCCTTCTTACATTGTATTCAGGCTATGTGTCCCTGGGCAGGTGTAGCACTCACACCCATAATCCCAGCATTGGATCATGAATTAATTACATACTCTAGAGGCTGGCCTTGAACTCACTGTGTAGTCCAGGCTGGACCACAGCAATCCTCCTGCATCAGCCTCCCGAATGCTGGGATTACAGACGCACCACCACAACCAGCCCATTAACTTGAAATTTAATTAAGAGTTTTTCAACCATATTGATACTTCACATTTCAGTTGCAGAAGTAAAATATAGCATTTTATTCTCCAGTGTAGGAAGCATTTAGTGAGACCAGGTTTGAGCCATTCAAAATTCTTAGTCCTTTAACTTTTCAGGAGTGATCTGTATACACTAAGGTTTTAATCATTCCAGAGTCCTCAGCGTTTTACATGAGTGATTTGTAAAACTGTCCTGTGGAAGGTAGAAGAGAACATTGTCATTTACTCCTGAGACATTACACCCAAAACTTTTAGATTTGCTAATACAGTGTATGTGTCCTGAGGGAGTAGTCTCTGAATCTGAATTCAGATATCATGGATTGCTTGTTTTATTGTTATTTTATTTATTTTGGCAGAACCGGGGATTGAACTCAGGCCTTTGCATTTGCCAGTGAAGCTCTTATTCTGTTTAGCTATCTCCCTGTCTCCTGTCTTTTTTTTTTCTGTCATTTTATTTTTATTTATTTATTTTTATTTTTTGATGGTACCAGGGGATCAA